CCAAACCCCTGTTTTTAAGGGGACGAAAGGGGTGAAATTAAACAAAAAAATAAAAAAACCAAAAGGGTATGCAGAGACTAAAAAAGAAAAAAAACTGCAGTTTCTTTAAAAGAATTCCCCCGGGAAACATCTGTTTTCAGAACATCCCCCGAAAAATGAATCATAAAAATTTGAAGAAATCACCCACAATTTTTTTTAATTGCCCCCGCGAAAATTTAAAAACGGTGCCCCATTTGCCGATTGTAAAAAATCTTGACTGGGCAATTTGAAAAGGGTGTGGGTGGAAATTTAAAATTTTAGGAAAGGGAAGGACCTTTTAATCAGAAAAAGGCTTGAAAAATTTTGGGACTGTTTTTTGGTATGATAATGCCCCCGTGAGGGTTTTGGTAAAAACAAGGGCGTTTATGCAAAGAAAAAAGGAAGCAAACCCCATCGTTAATTTTAAAAGGGATGGGTCTTTCTTTTGAAGTAGTTACCCACATGTTCTTTAAAAAATTTCCCCCAAGGCTTTTGGGGAAATTCCCTTTATTGCGAAACATTTTACGGGTTTTTCCAAATCATTTGTCAGACAAAAAAGAAATAAAAAAAACATTATAAACCCCTTGAAGATGGCCCCACACCCCCCGGGGAAAATTCTGTCAGTTTGAAAAAAACTAGATGGTTAAAATTTTAACCACTTTTTGAAAGAATTATGAAGCAATATGAAGTTAAAGAACACTTTGAAATAACAAGAAAAGGAAAAGGCTCCAGCGTAATACATATGGAATGCAGGTGAAAAAAAAATTGGTCATCTTTCCTTTTTATAAAACCCATCTAATGGGAAATGCAAAAAAGTTTAAAAAAACGTCGAATCTAAACTTTTTGATAAAGTTAAAATACTTGATGATCCACCTTGCTATTAACGGTAAAAAACTGGTATTGCCAACCTAAAACTGTTTTCTCACTTGCACTATGGGGATTTTTCTCCTAAACCCCAAACCTTGGGTATTAAATTTAATCAAAAATTTTGATTTAAAAAAAAAAAGACTGTTAAAGAGAATGAAAGAACAATTAAGAAAAACGCTGTCAAAATTCCTTTTTTCCCTTTCAAGAAGAACAGGATTTCCTGAAAATCTAGATGTTTGACAAATATTTTACTTTTTTCTTTGGGAACAACTTTAGCAAAAAGGGCTACCTAAAATTGTAAAGTTATGAAATTTTTGGGGCTAAATAATAGTGCCCCGGGGAAACAGAAATCAGTTTTCCAAGATAAAGTTAGCGAAGGGCAAGCAAAACAGAAACTAAAAACGTTTGGAGTGAAGTGAGGACTATTTAAAGATGCTCATCAAACAGTAAGCTCTTTAAAGGCCATGTCTGCCATGATACTACGCCCATCAAATGCGAACGAGAAAGAGTTGCAGTGCTAGGAATTATATCAAAACATAACCTGAAAAAACAGATGAAATTTGACCTCTTAAATGCTATCGTGCCATTAAAATTCGGCCTGATGAGGACTAGAGAAATAAGCCTACTGTTCCCACTTATAAGAAATTGAACAGCTAAAGCATACCAGGGTCATTTGGATCTGAGGACCTTTTTTACAAAAAAAAAAAAAAAAAAAAACTATTATCCAGCTAATTTATCCTGTGGATTTGTGAGGCAGGACATCAGGAAGCGTGAGGACATGATTGTGTAGGGAAGTCAGACAAAAATATGTAATTTTTGACTTTTCAATTTGGATTTTTTTCCAGATCTTTCACGCAGATTTAAGATCTTTTTAGATATTTTTTGCGACACCGTTTTGGATATTTTTTGTCAAAGAAAAGTTTCAACACTGTATATACGCAGGCACAACCATCTTGAACTGACTAGATACTTACACTGATTCCTACGTCCTCCACGAATACTCACATCGCGATGTCAGAACAATCACGCGGATTCTACACATAAGCCGGCTAGAAACTCGCTGATTGCTTCGCTACCAGTTTCCTATCTAGCTTCTTCTGCTGTTGTGAATGTGTACAGTTTCCAATCTGATTCAGGAGAGGAGCCAGAACTCAGAGCCCAGAACCTGATGATAACCAAAATGACAGCAGATTGCTTGGTTCATGAACATTTATTTGTGATGATGATAGGAGTGATGTGTCATGCTCTTGATTCAGATGTTTTATGCTATGTCCCGTGGTCTTTTAAACTATAGTGAACTGGCACTACCATTAGATTTTGTGGTCATGATTGTATTTCATAACTTTATTTTGTATTGGAGATGATCAGTAAAATGGTCGGAAATCCTAACTTCATGTTTATTATTTTAACCATAAAGTAAGTATGGTGGTGGTCTACAAGAATATTCATCTTTAATGTGAAACACAGTTGGGGGCTTTATAAATTGTGGTTGTCTTTAACTAGATATTTTCCAGGTGTTCACATTTTTTTTGTTTGTGTTGTTTTGTTCTTTTTTTGTTTGTTTTTTTTTTTCTGTGGGTGTTTTGTTGTTTTTTTTTTTTCTTTTGGTTTTTTTTTTTTTTTTTGTTTTATTTTTTTTTTTTTTTTTTTTTTTTTTTTTTTTTTTTTTTTTTTTTTTTTTTTTTTTTTTTTTTTTTTTTTTTTTTTTTTTTTTAAAGGTACGTAAGCGAAAAGAAAGTTGTTTTTTACATTTAAGAACAGCAACCAAAATAATGTTGCTTATCGTAGATAGCAAACGAGCTGTTTTTTTTTTTCCAGAGTTATCCCCAAATATACGAAGGAGCGGAAAACGAAGAGACAGCGAAAGAGTTTTTTTTTTTTCGCTTTATAAAAAAGCCTTTTCGGAGATAAGTAAGAACGGCGAAATCAAACCGATCGTAAGTAAGAACAGACAAATTCACCTTTTTATATCCCACCTCTAAGCTATAGAAGTTTTTTTTTTTTTTTTGATTTCTTTTCCAGCCTACTCTCCCTTTTTTTTTGTTTTTTTTTTCTTTGTTGTTTGTTTGTTTTCCTAACATTTTTTTCCCCCCCATTTTTTTTTGTTTTTTTTTTTTTTTTTTTATTTTGTTTGTTTTTTTCGTATTTTTTTTTTTTTTTTTTTTGTTTTTTTTTTTTTTTTTTGTTTTTTTTGGCCAGTGGGTCTCACCTACCATCTAGTCGCACAACTGGATTTTTGTCTGCTGTATAATATTTATACTTGAGATAAAACCCTTAGATAAAATATAATCGAACCACTTCACAGTTTTCGTATTCCTAAGTTAAGAAGGACGGCTTTCTGATAAGACTATTCCTCCCTCAAAAGACCGGTCTAATTATGTTTTCTTGAGACAACATGTATGTTTTTTAAAAATAAACATTTGAACCTTTTCCATTATTATTCAGCAGCTGTTCGAGCTCTTTTTACTTGATTCTTGTAGTCATTTTTTGAGGTGTCTGGTGCTAGCAGTAATCAGTAAGCACTGAAAAGCATTCATTGCCTTGAAACCTTGTCCTCTGTAGCAGCAATGTCCTGGTGAAATAGTTTCCCTTGTGCTCATCACAAACAGCTCCACATATATGTGGCGCCCAGCTCATATCGTGATCTTCTGTTCTGCAGCCAAAATACAAAACTAAATGTTTTTTAATCTCTTTTGTTATGCTTCGTTTTTGTGAGAGAATGTCACCTCACCACATACAGAACAGAAGTTATTAGCGTCATGTATATATAGTTGTGGTTCGGACCGAATACGAATAGTAGTTACATTACACCCGCTTCTGCATACACAGCTTAATGCTGACAACGTGGAACGATTGGTTTTGTTGAAGCTAATGCATTTTTTTCCTGCATTACTTAGCTGTCAGTGATCATTTCCAAGTTTATTTACTTGTTATAATACTTAGGATTCTTTCAATCCTAGTTATTAGCTACACAGACTGACTGAGGATACAGAACATAAAATGTTTTTAAATGTTAACTATTCTGTACGCATACTAACTAGACATGAAAAGAATATAAACTCTGGCCACATACAAGTCGATAATATGAAATCAAACGAACGGAAATAAAAGTATTGGGTGCAAACTTCAACTGCTCCAACATGCTGAGAGAAGAAATACAATCTAAAATACAATCTAGAAATAAAGTGTACTATGCCCTTCAACATCTGCTAAAGTCAAAGTGTCTGTCTAGCAACACCTAGATTCAAAAATATATAAAACGTTGAAAAAGCCAATCGTTTTATTTGGTTCTGAAACTTGAAGCAGAAAATATGAGGAATTTAACAGGTTTTCGAAAACAATTCTAAGACAAATCTTTGGACCCATTAAAGATGCTAACAGCGGGGTATAGAGTCAGAAGCAACAACGTAACACATAATCTGTTTAAAGCACCATTGATCACTGGCATCATGAGAGCTAACACACTAAAATGGTTGGGGCATATTGAAAGAATGTCAGATGACAGAAAAGTAAAAACTGTATACACCTGAGAGGGGAATGGGCGTAGAACAAAAAAGAAGTTCGAGAGATAGTGTCCAGCCAAACCTACAAAGAACTGGTGTCACAAATTGTGAAGAGAAGGCCAGCCAGCGGGATGAATGGAGACGAGTGATATCTGCAGCAGTAAACCTCAAGGGCTCAGAATGCTAAAGAAAAAGATGACTATTCTGTGCTACTTTATGTGAAGTAAAAGTTCAAGGTACATTTGACATTATGCATGTGTGCGTGTGTGTGTGTGTGTTTTTTTAGATATATGTTATACAATATACACTATTCGTATTCGTATTCGTATTCGGCCAAATAGTTGGTCCCGTTATTCGTATTCGGCCGAATAGTGAAAATCACTATTCGGTACAGCCCTAATTATAATATTTTCTGTGATCTTGATGTTCTTATTTAGCTCTGAAATATATTGTTGGTTTCCTCGATGTTCTAAGTGAGCTATGACATTTATGTTTTGTTTTCCCGATGTTCTAACTGAACTATAAGATTATCTTCTGTTCTCACTGTGTTCTGAGCTATACAATCTGTCTTTCTGTTTTCTCAATGTTTAATTAGGCTTTGAAATGTGTCAGTTGCAGACACAAGCAGCAGTCAAGTATGACTTCAACATGCACGCCAGCTACCGTCTACAGGTGCTTCAGACAGAGATGAGCAGACTGGCTAGAAATGCTGCTTGTGCAAGTGTCATGGCTGATCCGGTATCCTTTTGGCGCAGTCAGCGCTCTAACTCTACAAATTTCACAGCTGCTACAGATCTAAAACGCCTTCAGGTAGCCGAAAGGTACGTAATACACATACGAATTTAAAAATTGGAATTGCTAATTTAATGCTATGAAAACGAAACAACTTTCTGTTGATTATATTCCTGAGTAATTTACTGGATCTAGCAAAATATGTACTATGTTTCATTATGTTCTTCTAAGTCAACACTATAATTTTCGACCCCAAAAACAGCATTTGTGATTTCCTTGTAACCCACATTAGAAATAGAACAGTACGTGGTATAATATTAAAAATGATTCCCAAATCACCGACCATTCAGGTGAGGCAGGTGTGCTGATCTCAACAGACTGATCTGTTGTAAGGGGACACACACGTGTACAGACATTCACACGTGATAGACTGACTGGCTCTGCCATAGCTGCAGATGGTCGTCCTGAGGATCACACCAACATTGTTAATGCCCTTAGATAGATAGGACGGTCAGAGGATTTGTGGTGCAACTGGCAGATTTCTTAGCCCAGCTAGAGCATTGAGAAAACAGAAGACAGATCTCAGTGCTCAGGCAAAACACAGAGAGAACATTTAATAGATATAGGAGCAGATGAGAATGCGAGAACTAGGAGTAAAGTTGCTTGCTGCTTGTTTGACTGGGAAAAAATAGACCTTACTAGCCCTGCTGAAAACAGCTTTAGTTATAATTGTGATCTGGTTGTATTTGTGCGCAGTTCAAAGGTTTCAGTGTTTTTTTGTGTGCCAATATTTGTAGCTTATTGTCATTAGCTGTAGGTTAGTTGCTACTTTGAAGATGTCTGGGTTTCCCATTCTGGTCCTGTAGTCCGGATGAGGGTTTCGATTTTCGTGTCCACCTTCCTGTTTTAAAGGTGTGATTGCGCAATCTATAATTGTGGCTGTACTCCGTTTATCAGATGATTGTTGGGACTGTGGTGAAAAAAGGGGGAGGGGGCGTCCGGAGAGATTGTGTTCTGTCGACAGCCAAGAAAGGGAGAGACACCAGACGCACAAGAAGTCTTGTTAACCAGCATAGGACTGGTACTATTAACCACAGGACACTGATGTAAACGTTGTAAGGGAAATCTGAGCACCGATGAACGTGTCCAGTGTGCTGTAAAAATAAACCAACTCATAACAACTCTACAGGTACCAGGTAATTTATGAGATGCAAAATTAGCTGGTGTGATGTTGACCATCCACCAAGTGTCGACCTGTCTAAGCTAGCCATTGCAATATATCGGAACCTGTTAGTCTAGAATCTAGTGTCTCCCTTGTGGCTCCTCTCTTTGAGATCTTGTGTGTATGCAATTTTTGTTAAGTATCATTTTCTCTATTTGCTAGCCATTGCAATATCTCGGTCTTTATGACGCCAGTACTTAGTGGTCATTTTAAGAGATTGTAAATTGCATTATTGCTTTTCACTTTCATTCTCAACTATACATCTTTGATGGGTGCAAGGATTCTTTATAAAATCGTTTTTAACGGTGTGGGACTGTATGTAATAAGGCTTCAGCTCTTTTAGTTCGATTACAGGTGTCAGAGCCATGTAGGTCGTTCGGTGTTATGTATTGTTACAATGGTACACTACGTTGCAATTAAAGGTAGATTCCTTGAAAGTATGCTAAATTGTTACTTTTAATGTTGTATTTCTATTTAATAATGATTGAAATGTTATATTTCTATCAACGAAGATGTGAAACAATTCCTATAGCTGGTTTCCTGAAAACGCCGCCTATGCCATTTTTGTACAGTTTTGAAAAACCCTACTTGGAGGACCCGCCTGTTACAGACATTTTGAAAGTGTCCAATGAAAGCACATCCAGTGTAGTTCTTGTCAACAGCAGGTATTTCTGTGTTTCTGATTGAATCTGTGTGAATTAAACCCTGCAATGATGTTCTTTATTATGTTCTTGAATATTACTAACATTAGAATTATGCTACTATTGTGCACGTAATCCTCTTATAAAATGTTTATGTATAAATATATAATTAAGACAAAGAATGTAACAGTTTAAAGTACAGAGGATCAACATCACTGCATAGGGATCGACCCCATACGTTTCGTCCTTATCGGCAAAATGGCTAGTACTTTACAAGAGCTTCCCACAAAGCACAAACAATGTAGCTCCAGTGACCTACTTCTGGGATCTGCCTAAAAACAATGCACACATGAACCAACTTGTGGAGGCTGGGAAACAAATCAACGACATTCAGAGCGCGAGGCAAAGGGCTTAACCCAATGTTTTCCAAGTGGGCGTTATCGTCCTCCCGCGGTGGGGAGGGTGGGGTGGGGGGGGGGGGGGGGGGTAGTGGACACATTTCTGGGAGCCGTGCGGTAGCGGCCTTGATATTTTTTTTTTTGGGGGGGGGGGGGGGGGGGAGGGGGGGGGTGTGGGGGGGGGGGTGGGTAACAGAAACCTAAGGTGTAGCTGGGAACCGCTGAATAAAAAATAAGACTGCTTTAGAGAGAGAGAGATAGAGAGAGTGAGAGATAGAGAGAGAGAATTTGATAAAACTGTTCAGACCTTTCTCAATGCAGTGAGTGTAACATGTTAAAATCGCTGTAATTTGTGTAATTGGCATGACAAACAGGGGCATTATGTTTTAACTAATCGGGTTCTCATTAACATTACGGATATGTTATTCATAATTGTGTTTTAATATTCCCAAACTTTGACACTGACTAGAAAGATGACATGAGCTAACACTTCTACCAGCACCAGTTATAATATAATGTAGTTTTTGAACAGAGTTTCTGTACCGGCGATTTGACAGAATTTAAATCTATGAAGATACCCCCGAATTTCGTGTCAGTGTACCACACCGTAAGTGGGTGCACCCCCAGGGTTGACACAGAGGTCAGGGCCGTCACTGGTCGAGTCCGTTCTGTGATCGCACGGCGAAACCAGCGCTCAGGATAAAGCAAGAAAGACTGAACTGTGTTTTAGTAACACGATGACTGCTTCTGGGACTGAGCTGGTGAACGGGGTTAAGAGACACGAGGTAGAAGGAAGAAGGACATTCGGTGTGCGTCGGTCAGGAAGAGAGGACGTTTAGCAAGACAGTTGTATTATAGTATTAGAGTTAGGATATAGCTGTTAGTGACTGGATAGTTTATATTATAGTATTAAAGTTAGGATATATTTCTGTTAGTGACTGGATAGTTTATGTACAGTTTTGTGTTAGGATAGGATAGTTCTTGTGTAGAGTATTTATGTATATGTGCTGTGAGAGAGTGGCTAACCTGGACACTCTGACCCTGCACTAAGACAGAGACTGTGACAGTTTGATTGGGTCAGCGTGGCGATAGAAGAGAGCGTATCCTGCCGGATTGTGGTTTGTACACCAGAATATTGCCTGTCGCACGTACTGGGGACGGGGATAGATTGTAAAGCCCGTTCAGCCAGAGGGTCCAGGCAATAGGTGGCCACACGGCGGGAAGTCAACTGTCTATGTATTACCTGTACTTCCAATAAAGATTGTCGTGTGTGCTCTGTGTGCGTTCGGGTTCAGTGTGTGTGACGTGACGCGTGGTTTAAATGTTTATGTTGTTGAGTAGGGATCTTCCTTTCAAACACATTCTCTCCACTAGATAAACCGAACTAAAATCTGAGCTATCATGTGCTCTCAGACAACAGTCTGGATATCCAAGAAAACAGCCATATTGGCTCGTTAAGATACTTTAACATTAGCCTGCACTTGGTACCCACAAGAGAAGGCAAGGAATTTTAGATGTCTATCATACTTAATGAATTATTAGACAGGTCAAGTGATTCCTCCGTCATCTACCTTCTCCCGGTGTTATTATTAATAATTAAAGAATTATTATATTATTTGAGCCCCCACCAAATGTTATTCGACATCCTAACAGTTTAATTAAACATGTAAGACACAGACATTTGGAATTTAACAAACTATGTAGTTTAAAACTTGACATACAGCTTTATTTACTACAATGAAATTCCCAGTTTGATTGATTTACACAAACAGTGACTGGTTAATGACAGTGATACGCTTCAGCGAGACAAACAGCTCGGGGTTTAGAGTGGTATGATAATGATGATAAAAGGTTAACATAAAGGGGTTAATCTCAGACTTATAAGCCTCTGACAGCCGTGAGGAACTGGTCAAGCTTGTCAATGGAGCTTCCTTGCCTGTTGTCTGCCTGTTTCAGCTTATTCTCCACTTCATCCCCACCTCGTTCTCCACATCGTTCTGCACCTAGTTCTCATCCGTTCCCAGTGGCGAGTGATAACACAATGTAGGCTACTTCATGGACTACCTCGTCAAATGGGCGCTGTAATCATGGAAACAAACACATACGTGTAGTATCTTGACGTCACACTAAGAATACATGTATCGGGCCACAACATATAAAACATGAATATAGCCCATCACTCCTCCTCATATTCCACATCCTCTCCAGTCTAGTCTGAAGGTCTTTTTGTCTTACATAAAGGCGTCACATATCTGCTTCCCTCCAATGCTAGGTCATGATAGTTGACTTTCTAAGTCTGTTGTCCGTCATCACTCAGACTTCCATACGGGATGAATTGATATCCATACCATGAGGCCCCCACACATGACACGTGGAAGGTTATGTGCTGAAAACGCAAACAATTTATATGTGCACGCTGTCCTGAATATTATCTTTTTCAGTGACTCAACTGAATACTGTACACCCATCATTCTCTCAGAGACGAGAAAAGGTTTATAAATCCCCTGTTTAGGTGAACAGAGATTAAGTGAGCACATGGTGGCGCACACCCGAAAACGTATGCAGCATCCCTGCACATATTTGGGGACATCATTTCCCACTGGCCAACTCATATTTGGCTGATCGTGAAAACAATATAAGGCATTTCATTATAGCAAATGTCATTGATCTGCATCTTAACCAACATACACATGAAAGAAATACACTGAAAAATCATGAAGACACAAACATACAAAAATAGGAAATAGTTACGCAGTTCCATAACTGAGAAACTGAAGACTCAACAAGGAATTGCAAGCAACCAACAGAGTGATGGAAGAAAGAAGAAGCACGGAAAGAGGCAACAAAGAAGGCAGCAGATACAGGGAGCCGAACCCCCTAACCTATGCATCAAGATTAATAATTATATTTTCTCTTACCTGATGAAACTTTCCGTTGGCATCTATTGACCAAACCAGAGTACGCACAGGAAATGGATACCTTTACTTCTACCTGTTTGTTTGCCGGCAGGCTGCGATTAATGATCGGGAATTCCACAGGCTCGAAGTTAAGTATCAATCTATTGTCGAAATCGTTAAACTCCTCCCTTTCCAGAGTACGCCCACACCCTCAAGATGATGACATAAACCCTATGTCCGAGCAGTACCAACAAGATCAGAAAGCCAATAATACCAGCCTGTCAGTCAGTATAGACTGACAGTCCCTGCCCAAACATTCGAAGTGGTCCCAATTAGTTTACAGGCAATCTAACTTTCACGGTGTGACAGACGGTCAGTGACAGCCATTGGAATACGACAACCAAATCGATCCAACATCCAATCCATCTTGAGCGCAGCACAGGGCCAGCCAATTACAAAAACAACAGCAAGAGCGGAAACCACAACAACCAGAAAGTGCTCCACATTGTCAGCGTCTACTCAATTTACCTGTTCAAAAGGGCCCCGCTCAGTCTCCACAGTCTGGTCAGGAGATGAACAAAGTGACACTGGCGTGAGAATCCAACCTCACATCCCTAGTCTGAAAGAAAGAGAATTTGAATTAATTAGTGTTGTGGTTTTTAAACAAAGCGCAGTGCTTGTCGCACGTACTGGGGAGAAGGACTGGTAAAGCATTTCCAGCCAGAGGGTTTAAAGTAATATTAGGGTAAACGGCGGAGTAAATATAAATCTGTCTCTCTTTAGAACCAGAAGAACTTATTACAAGTAAAGATTGTCGTGTGTGCACTGAGTGCGTTCGGGACAGTGTGTGTTGTAGGTTAGTCTGTCTGTCATAGGCCTAGTTAGCGAGCCACGGACCGGCAAGGTCATACCAGAGGTTTGTGACAGATTATGGGGGCGTTCGTCCTTGGGAATTGAATCTATAGTAGTAGCTAGATAGTAATAGTTGTCCGCGTTAATTGTGAACCCAATGTGCTTGTACTTATTTGTCTAAATAGGAGACATAGATTAGTTCGTATGTTTAGCTGACTGATTTATTTTTCTTTAAGTTTTGTCGTTCACTATTGTAGGGCTAACGTGATTGAGTTAATCCCTTAATTTTGATGTTGCTATCGAGTAAGTTTGCGATGGCGTTGCTGAGTTAATTATCTTAAATATTGCATCGTTGTCCGGGCCTACTCTTAATTATTGATAGCGACATCGTGGTTGGCTTGGGTCACCCGTAGCGCTATAAAGTGATAGTTTGTATAGTTTTCGTATTTGTTCCGACTGATTGTAATTAATAATGACTAAATGTGATAGGGCTGCGTTTGCGTCGTGACAAGTTAGTGACGAATAGGAGAAATAATTTGACGGACAGTAAAAAGTGTGAGGAAGGTCAAGATTGTGTGCTGTTGTGAGGTTGCTGCCGACATCGATCAACCGAGGCCTGTCGTTCTCGGTCATCACCATCATCCTCATCATCCTTTCTGTGGGAGGCCAAGAATCAAGGACTGGAGAGAAGATAAGTTTGTTTTGCTTTTGGTGTATTGTTGTGGTCTGTTCTCCAGCCCTCGAGGGTTCTACGCAGTTGTATTTGAGCCCCTGGCACCGTTCATTGTCCTTCTCATTTCTCGTCTGTCCTATTCATCATTTACGTTATTTTTGTGGGTGGTTGGCAGGGCTAGTCTTGTGTTGTCCCTAGTTGTCT